GTGTGTGTGTGTGTGTGTGTGTGTGTGGGTGTGTGTGTTGGTGTCGAGTGTGTGTGTGTGTGTGTGTGTGAACCTCCCTAGCACATGGGAGCAGAGGGTCACTCCTACACTGTTTGCAATTTTTGCTTTTCAACATAATCAGACATTGGACATTTACCAAATCAACTGTTGCAGGGGGATCAGGCTTCCAGTGACTGACCTGATCCAACGAAGCTAGGTCACTGGAAGGGAAGTGATTGAGGACGCTCAGTCATGTACCTGCACAATTTTCGGCAGCCCCCTGTGGTGCCAAGATTAGTTTGAGGACAGGCCCCCTGTGGTGTCCAGATTAGACAAACAATTTGTACGGTTGCCGCAATCTGACAAGCTTTTGCAACAACAACAACATGCCTCTCTTTTTCCTCTTGCACTCGTACTCTTGGCCGAATCCATCAGTGTGATCAGCGTGGGTCGTTGAGACTCCAGAGCAACGGCTTTCCGTCATGGCGCCGTGGTGACCCTCCGGGGAGACCGGTGATGAACCGGGTGTTCAGCCTTCGTTCAGATCGTTCAGATTCTCCCGATGCTATTTTATCTCTCTCTCTCTGATGCTCGCATGTGCGTCTGACATGAGTGCAGGTGCAGTAACCGACGTCTAGTGCAGTAACCGGCCGCTAGTGCACAGGATTACCTCGCTATTCTGTCCTCTATTCGATCGCTTCTTTATTTCTCAGGGACTGCAAGGGCATGTGCAACTGACATGAGGGCAGGTGCGGTAACATTTGTCTAATGCAAGTGAAGCAGCGCTTCCTCCGGGAAGTAATCGGCCCTCTTCTTTCTTTCCGTCTTCGACCTCTCAAGACAACCAGGACAGCCTGCACTTTGCTTGTGCAACTGTGTTTGTCTCACCAACTTCGTTGCAGCTATGTGGCCGGATTATTTTACCACGCAGCCACCAGCAACACCATACGCACCAACAACCCGACCGGTGCTCAATCAGTTTCACCCGAACACCTGGGTACCGCAGTCACAAGGATACCCAGCAATGATGCCAACTGGCATTGCTGCCATTCAGCAGCACACACTGCCGACGCAACCCACTACGATCCCTGTTGAGCAGACACACAGCTTCCCCATGATGCCATGTGGACACAATGCTCCTATACCACAGCATCCGATGGTATACACACAACTCAGCACTCCACAGCCCCAGCTGCCACAACAACCTCCACCCCAGCAATTCATGACGCAACATTCCCCCACTTTCTTGAACCCTGTTCCTATGCCTACCCATCCTACAGTTTTTCCCACGAGCCCATCACCTCAGCCTGCCACATACAACATTCCTTTCACACCACCTGCTCCACAACCCCAACCTGCACCTTGCAGCATCCCTTCCACACAACCCGCTCAACAATCCCATATACCGCCGCCAACGACCCTCCAACAAGCTTCACAATCTCACCCCATCAATGTTACCACTACCGATGCTGCACACATTGCCCCGCAGACACCGGCAATCACCCCCCAACCCCAACCAATAAGCACAGCCAACACCCCCTCTGTCAGCACATTGCCACCCACACAATCACCACCCGCTACGGGATCGGGAGACACTGACCCGCTCGCAGCACCTGCTTCTTCCCACCATCCTCCGTTGCCACGCAGGCGACGGCGCTCACCCACACGCAGCAGAACCCGCACCTTGAGCACTAGACGCCGACGACGCACACGCAGCAGAGCACGACCTGCCAGCAGCGGGAGACAGCACCGCCGACACAGAGCTATTCTACAGTGCGTGACGTTGATACCAACAAGTGGCATTACAGAGCCACACAGCTACGCCAGAGGCCACCCACCCCACCCAAGGTCCCACAAAGGACATTGGCCTCGCAGGTTCAGCGAATCGCCCTCCGCATCAAGGGCAGCCAAGCAGCACAACAGCAGCCCCCAGCCGGACAGGGCACCTCCTCCCGCCAACAGGCTCAGCACAATCCCTCCAGCTCCGTTCGGGCACCTGCCCCGACCTACGATGCCTCAACAGCCGCTGCCCCATCGGGTCAGCCAACCCTCGAACAACTGGGCAAACACAGCAGACCACCACAGATTGATGTGGTGCCATTTTCTGAGCTTTACGAACATGAGAAGCCGACTCCTCACGCCGTCGACATGGAAGAAGCTCACAAACTCGCCAAAACTTTGGGCGAGATAGCTGCTGACAGCGATTTCAGGCAGGAGACTTTGGCCGAATTTGCACATGCAGTGCTACAATCAGGCACGCGATCAGCGTGCAACGAACTTGGGGCAGTGCTGACGCCAATATCGGACGGCGTGCATACTGTGTTATTCATTCCTTGGGCTGGAGAGCAGCGTAGAGCGTTCGGCACCCGTGCCACTGACCCACCAGGAGAGTCATACATCTACACCGCCGGACACGGCACGAGCATTGCAAGTGCCGCGCGCATTATGCGCGAAGACTTGGTCCGCCCAAGTTCAGTCAGACACTGCTTCGACGACAAGTCCTACCCACCCATTCCCTCTTGCGTCATTTACGGGAATGCAACCCCAGGAGATGTATCGGAAAGCACGGTCCATATAGTAACCGATCAATGTACACGGCGGCCGAAAGGCCAACAGGGAGTGCTCGTCATCGGGACAATTCGGACTAAGTATCAGCATTACAAGATGACGTATCGGGACATGTATAGAGAGGCCTTTATCGTGGGGCGAAAGGGTGTTGTGCGGACCCCAGAGAAGTGGGGATTCCACTCGGGGCATTTCAGCATCGTTGGATTCGGCCTTATTCAGTGATGTTCTGTATTACTTTCTTTCTTCTTCCGAGTCTACCTTTCACTCTCGAGTATCATTTCTCTTCCAGGCCTGAATCCCGTTGCACATAGCTGTATGCAATCAAGCATTTGCTCCGACCCCGCTTTTGAGCCAAAGAAGAGACGATGCAGCTGCATGCTGGATGCATTCCACAAGTAGATGCTGACACTCAGGCCAACTATGTTGTCCATGCGCGTGCTATTTGCAGCTTTTGCAGTCACAGGCAATTGTAGTGCCCCATTGTGCAACCATGTACAAGCCGACACAGCCTCAGTGGCACACAACAATGCCAACAGGCATCATCGGCACAGCAATCAGTGCGGCGCAGCGACAAACAGCTTCAACCAGCAGCACCCCAATGCACCCGATTTCCCCACCACCAGGGATCCACAACATCCCACCCCACACCTCACCCCAGACCCCAACCACCTGGGGTTCAGCTCACCCTTACAGTCACAGCACCACTTTCCCCCCTTTCCCTCCACCCCCTCCCCCACCCCAGCAGTTTACCGTCCCAGCTTCACCCACCGCACTGCCAACCCCCACGCCTGCCACTTCCCAACACACATTTGTTAGTCCATCCCCGATGGCTACTCAAAACCCCAGCATTTTTTCACATACATTGCCTCAGGCCACCGTCACACCCCAACAACAACAACACACCAATCTTACGCCTGCAAATCCCCAGATACCAAACGACTTCGTTCAAACACCAGAGCATTGGGACAACAGACAGCTTTATGGCCTCAACCTACCCAAACACATTCAATCTACACCACATTCAGTGCACAACCGCACGGCAGGCATGCCGATCGCAACAGCACCATTGGTAGCATTTCTACGACACAATTGGTCATCATACTGGCTACGTTACGCCGCACACGGCTTTGACATCCATCTCACATGCAGCAAACATGTCAGCGAAGCCGTCTTCACCACTGAGCTTATGGGTCAACTCCGAGCACGGAGAATTGATCTGGACCAAGCAGCCACCGCATTCTGCTGGCAAGAGAAGCTCACACTCGCAAAACGGCCAGCGATGTCACACCTCATCAAGGAATTGGTGTTATACCTGCAAGAGCTGCAGGACCAGTACAATGACGGCAACAAAAAGGACAAGCAAGATGTCAAATCTGACACAGACAACACACAATCCCGTTCTGCTAAGGAAAACCGTTACCCTAGACAAAATCCTAAACCCTAAACCCGAGAACGGAAAATGAATGCAATCCGAACTCGGTTCACTCATTTTCGATGGGATCGCAAAGATCGGCTGTGCAAGCATACAAACGGGTTGACCCGAGGATGCCTTCTGTGGGGTGGCGACTGTTGCACCACCCCACGGACAAAAGAACTACGAGTGAAGCTACAACACTTGAGTGACAGCTTGAGACTAAGGGAGCGACCAGAAGGGTCCTCCGGGACTGAGCAGTCCACGCTAGAGCAGAGGCTACAAGCAAGAGGTGACCTGCAGACTACGGCGGTGAAACGCATTGGGGCCAATGGCGGGCCCAGCAGGGAGCACCGAACGACATGGTGCGGCAGCTGCGCGCTGCCGTGTGCAGCATTAGAAGAAGCAATGGTAATGTGAAGGCAGCAGCCTGCGCAAGCACATTGCCCGTGGCAGGATGCCAGGGGCAAAGCACAAAGTGAGAGTGAAGGTGCAAGGAAGGATAGCACGTTCGGTAAAGGCCGGGCCTAGCGAGGCCGGCGTGCACGCAAGCGAAACCAGGGCGGGTCGGGTGGGAAATCAAAATTGCGAAGCGACTTCGCTGCAACTTGATCCAAAGCGGAGTGCGGATGCACAGAGCTTCACGACATGTACCGAGGCAAGAAGATGCAGGCACTGGCAAAAGCGAATAAAGGAAAACTTTCCAGTTTTACCAAAAGAAAGGAAACCGTTTTTCCATTTGCAAAACACCAGTGGACAAGTCCACCCGTACGTTCTGCTAAGGAAAACCGTTACCCTAGACAAAATCCTAAACCCTAAACCCGAGAACGGAAAATGAATGCAATCCGAACTCGGTTCACTCATTTTCGATGGGATCGCAAAGATCGGCTGTGCAAGCATACAAACGGGTTGACCCGAGGATGCCTTCTGTGGGGTGGCGACTGTTGCACCAAGGTAGTTTGCCACCCCACAGCACGCTCAAGAAAGCCAAGGAAGTGTGGGCTGAAGGGGGTGGCAGATTTCAGCGAAGCCAAGGAAGGGTGAAGCTGGAAGGGAAAATCTGCACCTCAGGACAAGGCTCCCAGAGAGCAGAGAGCCCAAAGCGTATGCGCTGGCATGGAAGGCAGTCTGGAGGTGTGGGGTACTCAGCCGGCCGGCTAAGTGCGTCGGCTTTGCAGTTCTTGGCACCTGGGACATGAGACACATCGATAGAGATGCGATGCATGGCTGCCAGGAGGGCGATGTGTTCAAGAACGAGGCCTAGGGGAAACTTGGTTGAAAACATCTTATTCAAACCTGCCTCCGCCCCTGAGTTATCGCAGAGGGACGGGAGGCGTAAAGGAACCCTGCCGCAAGGAGCCAGCCTAGAGAGAGCAAGAATCAGCCCCGCCTGAGCCAGGGCTTCACAACTGGCTATCTCCTTAGCCAGGTCATTGCCGAAAGGAATGCCTGCTGCTTCAAATTCCTGGACTGAAAAGGTTTCAGTGAACCAAACTTGGCCTAGAACCGGACAAGAAACAAAACCCCCCAAACTGCAAGATGGGCCGGACGCCGATGCATCGGCAAAGGCCTCAACGTCTGCAACCTGAGATGGGCGCATGCTGGCGAGTGGTGCCACGTGTTGCAACCAACGCTCGAAGGCCTGCAACGAGCGGATGGAGGCACAGGAGAGTTTCCGCCTCGAGCTGCTAAGGCATTCAACTCGGAGCCACAATCTTTTGTGCGTCACGGCGACTTTGGACAAGTCTGCAAGGGTTGTGAAAGGCACATGACGAGCCGAGAGGAGCTTAGCGCCCGCGGGGATGGCAGTGTGAGGAGGTGAGGCCTTAAACCTGAGTGAAGAATCAAGGAAATTACAGATGCTATGCCACGATTCCGGAGCAATGCTGAAATTAGTGGCAGCCGGAGACCAAAGGTCTTTGTAGAAAGGGTGCATCATGGCACGCATAGTGGGGAAGAGTGCACAGGCCCACATGGCAAGGCCCAGAAAGGATTCCAGTTCCTTGGTAGAGATACGGCCCCCGCCCCTCAGAAGGGAACGCACTTGTTCAAGGAGCCGCAAGCGTTTTTCTTCCCTGAGACTAACCGTACCCGAAGAGAAGCACAACCGCCATCCAATCCAATCGACCCGGCAAGAAATTTGTAATTTTTTCCAACTGACTGGAACACCCAGGATCTGAAGAAAGAGGCATATCACAGCTCCCGAGAGCGGCATGAGGCTGGCCGCTTGGCTGAAAATGAAGTCGTCCACGAAAAGGAGGCCCACATGGGCCAGGAACAGCAGGGTATGTAACAGGCGCAAAGTGCACCCTCCCACGCGACCCCACCAATGCTGTGAGAAAACTGCTCCGAATGGGCAGCAGCGAAAAAAGTATAGCGCGTTGTGCCAAGTGAAGCCGAGCAGGCCCTGCTCGGAGTCGCGGATGCGGCAGCGCTTGCGCGCCTGCTTGACATCAATGCAAATGGCCATCTGGCGGTCGGAAGTCTCGCGAATCGGGAAAGAATGCGAAACATCGTGTATGCTCGGGAAACATTGACGTTCCGGCACTGTGCACTGAGAATTGGTCCCAGCTACGCTGTTGTCCAACACGAGTCGTTCGGCCCTCCCCGGAGCCCTAACAACCCCCAATTTTCCCAGTGCTAGGCCAACGGGCCATCTACTTTTCGCCTCCTCAAGTGTGCCTTCAAACTTAAAGCAGTATCCCGCGTCCAACTCCTCTTGGAGCAAGCGCGAAGTGACCTCAGGAGCCACATCGGCCGACTTCCAGTTTTCAAGATTGAGCGCCAATGGAATCAGCTCCCCTGATTGGCCTTTGGGAGGCCAGAAACAGTTGGAAGGGGGGATGTCATTCAAGTACCCGGTTGGCACACCCATACGCAAATGCGGAAACAAATGAATGTCCTGATCGCCACAATGTTGTGCCAGGGCTTCAAACGCGTGCAAGCACATGGGTTGGTATGGATGCACATACCAAGCGTTATCCGGGGTCTGCATACCCAGCGAAGGAAACACCAGATCCCTGGCTGCGGACACTTCGGAAGAGCTGAAAAGCGGTTCATTCGACGGGCAGGAACCGCGAGCAAGCAAGCGTTTGTCGGCTCGAGCTGAGATGCAGAATTGCAGCAGGGCTTTGCGTAATCCCCGAAATGCATCATGGCTTGCAGGGCTGCTCCAATCGGCAATGGAGCGTTTTCCAGCACCATCATGAAGTGCATGTGGGCCTGCGAAAAGGCCTTTGCGTGGGATAGACTTGATGACTGACTGCAGGGATAGCTCGCGGCCCTCTGCCGGGAGCAGAGGGGCAGCGATCGTGGCAAACGAAGATGCAAATGCACTTGCGCATTGCGGGGGAGCGAAGGCGGGCGAGCTGACCGCCAGGGCGGAAAGCGGGCGGTAAGAAGCAGCCAAAAGCTGGGGCTGGCACGGAATAGCTGAGTCTGAGTACAGTAATGGGGGTATCAAGATCAGAGCACAGTTACCCTGATGCAGCCAGGCCTGGGGCCGCTCAGACGACCAGTAAGAAGAAGTGGGGGGCAATTCCAAATGCCCCTGACCCCCTGCAGTGTGTACAATGCTGAGGAGCCAGGTGCAACGGGAAACCTTTGCCGCCGCCGTTTGCTCGTGCATTGCCGAAAGCAGCCACGAGGAGGAACCCACGTCGTCAGGCGAGTCTGCTGACTCGGCTAGTGGCGATGCTGCAAGATACGCGACCGCTCCCGAGCCGCAAAGGAAGAGGACCTGCTCGAGGAGGTCTGGGCAAAGGACATCCAGGGTCGGGTCAAGGCTGGGGCTTAGGGTGAGGGAGTTTCCACCTGAAGCACGGACAGCCATGCTAAGTTGATGGTGCGAGTGATTGTTCCATGTGATCTCGAGAAAAAGACGCGCCGGGAGGGAAGAAATGCAAGTATCAGCTCGCCAAGCGCCCTCCGGTGGTGACAAGGGGCGTGCAACCCTAAGCTTGTGGGAGAGAAACAAACCTGACGTGGAGCGTTTTCCCCACAGTTTGCATCCCAGTGGCAGCTTAGACGATGCCGAATTGGAATGGACTGTATGTTCCCTGCACGACTGAGGTTCGTGCTGCTTAGTAGTCGAGACGGCTTCCGGTACTCCGGGCATTGGCTGTGCTGAAGGGAGATGTTGCGCAGGAGGAACATCTGCGGACGCCTCGGAGGCTGACCCAGGGTTGCCACTGGATGGAAACTCCTCCTGAATGTGCGTCCCTGCTAATAAGTGCGATGAAGTGATGTCTGCTTCCTCGAGCCCCGCGGGCGAGGTGGGGGAGGCAGAGGGACTAGGGGCAGGACTAGAACCCAAGAGGGGAGACGGCAGTGGGAAACCCAGAAACTCAAGTTCGGCACAACACACGTCAGGAAGGGAAAAGGCTGTGAGGGCCCAACGCTCTCCTGAGAAAGGAAGTGTCATGTGTCTAATGCGGCCATCGAAGCTAATGGCTTTGCGATGTGTGTCGATAGCACAGCCATGCAGCCAGCCCGAGCCAGATGCAACTGATGTCGGCTGGCCTTGCGAGAGGCAGGAGAGGTCCTCAATCCACAGATGGCCACCCGAGAAGGCGCCCAGCGAGAGTGACAAATTGCGTGAGCCAGGAATGTTCGCTGAGTCGGAATGCAGCGCACTGAGGCCATTGCGCGAGACACACAAAGCGTTCCAGTGCTCGTTTGGAAAGAGGAACCTGAATAGGGCATTCAGGTCCCTGCAAAGCTCAGGCAGGGCGATGGTGACGTGAGTAAGTGAAGAACGCCTAGAAAGCTGAACCCCGAAATTAAAATAGCCTGAAGCAGAAGAGGCACCGGAAATGATGTGAGCACGGCGAACCTGTTGGGGCCAAGGGGCTTCCCGCAATGAGCACAAAATGCAATCGAAGAGGCCTGCCAAGGCCGGCCCACAGAAATTGGAAAATTCAAGTGCGTGACCCAAAGGGGCGGTACCGCTGGCGGGCGGAATCGGCGCAATGGGAGTGCTTGAAGTGCATGTGGAGGGGGCAACGTCCCCCGAAGGCACTGAACCAGTATGATGCACGGAGGGTACGGCCTCCTGAGGCGGTGACACAGAAACTGTACAATCGGCAGAGAGGGGTTGTGGCGGCAGTGGCGGAAAGCTGAAGTCCAAAACTTGCGAGCCCCGGGGGGCTTGCTGTTGCGATGGTGGAATCGGCGGTGGCAGTGGCGGGGGAGCAGGCAGCTCCCCCCAGCTGTGGATGGACCCGGCAACACCTGTGGGTGGCGAGTCGGGCGCATGATGTCACTTCTCAGGGTGCTGAGGCGCACCGTGGTCCTTGCTAAGGCAGGGTGAACCATCGGGCTTAGGGAAGGCGCAGCCGTGCGTGAACTCGCAGGAGTTGCCACGCTGGCATTTCCCGATCTGCCACCCAATGCACAATTTTTTCACCTGGCCGCCCTCCTTGTACTCGCGAACCCACGGAACGCCCCTAGGCTGGGTGCCTTGCTTGGTGGGGCTCTTGGCTTTCCCCTTGCCCTTGCCATTGCCACGACCTGGCGGTGGGGTGGGCGGGCGGTTGTCACGGCCGCCCGGTGTATACGGCCTACGACTGCCTGCAGAGGCAGCTTTGGCGCGGGGCTGCAGCCATGACGACATATCGCCACGGATCTCCGTGAACTCGTAGATCGCATCATTCACCTGCCATTCTTTCTCGATCACAAGCTGAAAGATGCACGACCACAAGTGTTTGTCCGCCTGCTGAGCTTCCAGCACAGAGGGGGGCCGAAGGTTTGTTTCAGGCGGGAATTTTTGCGAAACCAGGCTCAAGAACTTAGAGGTGTAAGCTTTGAGGCGCGCAAGATGCGCGGTGCCTGCAAGAGCGAGGGCATTGTCATGCACCTCCAACAGCCTACGGATCATTGAAATCCCCATGGTGGAATCATTGATATCAATCTGTGGCGGTTCATCAAGCAACAGGTCCGAAAGCTGAAGGGTCTCAATCCTGGCCCTTTTTGCGGGCTTCTGCATGAGGGAATCCTCATACATCTGTTGTGTCATGCGACTCTTCCACGGGATCCAAGACCAGTTCTTCTTAACCTCGGCGTCGACAGCAGTGCTCAAGAGGCGGAGCGAGGGGGTATTCATAGCCGTCAAGATTTCGGATGGGAAGGCTTCCAAGAAACGTTTTTTGAGCGTGGCCACCCGCGTTGCATCAAGCTTGGGGGCGAAGGCTTCCGACCATCCCGAGCCTTGCTTGGCCGGGGATCCCAGCGGTTCTGCAGGAGCAGGATCGTTACTACCGCGTCGCTGCAGCGACGACCAGACGGCTCGCAGCTTGGCACGCTGCATCAAGGACACTTCAGTGTCCGGGAACATCTCAGGGAGGACCCCCGCAAGCTCAGATTCCTGGCAGACAACATGGCGAAAAGATTTCGCATCCCAACCGTCGGCGAGCAGCCGATCCGTGAGCTCCTGGCTGATGCCGTGATCCTGAAGGAGCTGATTGAAGCTTGAGGCTCCCTCTGCTTTAAGCGGGCACGGTGAAGGATTCACCAGATTGAATGATCCATCCGCGGATTTAGCATCGAACAATTCATCTGCCATGGTGCGAGAGCAGCGGTCGGCAAAAACTACCGTTCGGGCCTGAAGCGGCTGATCGAGGGCAGACCCGTGTCCTGGCAGGCTCAATGCAAAGAAAATGGAATGCATGAAGAAAACATGTGCAAGCAGAATGCGAGCGCATACCGATACAAGACAAAGGCAGCAAACTGCACTTTTACTAAGCTTCCAGAGCAGCGAATGCATTGACACAGGCATTTCGCCTGCAGAGAACATGTTTGGAACTAAGAGAGTGGACCGACTGCCAACGTGGGCCCGACATACCGATGCCACAAAGTGTCCTCTCACCTGACGGGCATGCGGCGTGCACAACGCCTGTTGCGGCGACCATGTGCACCTCATCTGGGGGGCCGAGCGACGCGGGCCCTGCCTCGGACTCAAGACTTGACTCAGATCCAGCCTCCGATGCGGAGTCGGGCAAGGAGGGCTCGGCAGCCTTGGTGCTGGCCTCTGCAGCAGGTGTTTCCGCAGCACATGCCGAAGATTGACCGGGAACCCAGGGGAGCGACCCGGGGACACCAACATCGAAGGAAAAGAAACCCCACGGTGCAGGATCGATCTCTTTGCTGAAGGCTTCCAAAGTAAAAGGGATCGGTGCCATAGGCAGCTGTGCTCCACGGTGCAATGGCGTCCTTGGGCGAAAATCCGCCAAGACAGCAGACCTCAATTGTGTCTGAGCGCGGAGCGCCCCTAGCACGTCATCTCTGCTGTAGAGTTCCCTGCTACTCCCCCTATGATGTCCTTGAGCGTCCCTGTCTGGGCCGCGGATGTCCGGCACCTCAAGCATATAACTTAAGAGGCTACACTTCATGGAGTGCACCGTATAGTTAGATACGGGCACCTCGGGTGGAGACACCATCCAAGGAAACTGCAAGTAATAGCGCAACCAGCGCAAGCATGAAGGGTAACTCATCGGCTCCAGGGGCCGGAGCAACTCGGCGTCATCGTCCAGTGCCGGAAACAGAAAGCTAGGAGCCACCCCAAAGTCGCGCACCTCCTGCGAAGCGATGGAATCAAGAACCCGGAGCCACCTAGCCACCCAGGAGTGTGTGCCATGATGCAAGAAGCCTTGAGTGATTAGGCCGAAGGGTTGGCCCTGATGCGAAGTTTTCGTCTGGTATGCAATGGCCCGAAGCGAAACCACGTCGAAAGCAAATGAGCTCCATTCGATGCGCTGGCTGTCAGCAAAGCGAAGACTCGCCCAACATGTGACCAAAAAAGCACCGAGCAGTACTATGTCCCGCACTGGGGTGGAGCGCTGAAGGATGCGCCGTTCCCACTGCACAAGAGCATACAGCGGCAGGGGTAGGCTCTCCCTGCGGTCCTTAGGCAATTTGGTCTTCAAGAAGGATGAAATCAGCTCGCCATAGAAAACCTCAAACACAATGCACTGGGTGTTCTTGCAAACCCACCGTACGGCCTTGATGCAAGTGATTGCCGACGATCCGACAGTCGGATCCTCCTGTCTTTGAAGCTGCAAAGTGACCAAGATGTCGGCCGCTTGCACTGCAGTAATCTCAAGAAGACACACATCCAAGTCCTCACAAGCTTTAGCAAAGGAGTTAAAGGTAGTGATGTACCTGATGACAGTCGTTGCGGCAAAACCTGCAAGTACACGGCGCACGTGTGCATCGAAATGCACTGCTGATTGGATGGCGGAGAAAAAGCTAGATTCAGACCCCAAGAAGGCAAGAAGCTGCAGCATGAGGTTCACAGCAATCTGAGAGCAGGCCGCTGAGTGTGCACGAATGGCCTGCATCCCGCGACCATCCTGCTTGCTGGCGCGCGGGCGCTTGTTCGATACCGACACCACCATTCCTTGCGGATTGGGCAATGGAGGTGCAGCCTGAAGCTCAGGCAAGGCTTGAAACGGCGGTGTGAAAGGGGCTGCGCGGGCCGGCAGTGCCGGGGGCCTCAAATGCACGTGCCGATTCACAGGTGGGCAGGGAATGCCCGACTCGGGGAGGGGCGTTGCGGACCTAAACCGAAGATACCCGAAGGAGGGAGGGGGACTAGGCCTAGAGCCAACCCCAGGCAGTCTACGATCAGCATATGGGCCACCACGTGGCCCGCCCAAGCGAGACCTGTCATCAGGGTCAGTGGGCCTGGAGGACATCTCGCCAGCAAAGCCCCTTAATCCAAGGAATCCAAAAAGCTCGACCCGTCCGGGCAGCACGGCCCGTCAGTGCAGTCCGGTTCACCTTCAAGCCGAGTAAGGCGCTGTTGCAAAATCACAAACTGGTTCTGCAGCCTAAACTGATTCTCAAGCAGAAGGTCAGCACGCTCGTGCAGAGCAGTCAAAGCTTCAAGGGTGTCGTCCCTGAAAGATTGCAGTGCTTCGATGAAGTCTGATCTCGCACTATCGACGTCCTTTTTGGCTTCCACAGAGGCACCACGAACCAAGCTGAGCAGCGAGCACTCAAAGTACTGACGGAACTCTTCAAGCTCAGCACGGGACACCATACAAGAATGACAGATCACTCAAGAGGCAAGAGGTGCCTGCCATGCACCCCCCCCTTGTAGGGGGCGATCGCGCTACCCAGGCCACGAGGAGCTAGAAGCCTTGGAATTAGCCCCCGGAGCCTGCTAGACAGCACTACAGGACTCTAGAGAGGCCCAAAATCAAAATTGCGAAGCGACTTCGCTGCAACTTGATCCAAAGCGGAGTGCGGATGCACAGAGCTTCACGACATGTACCGAGGCAAGAAGATGCAGGCACTGGCAAAAGCGAATAAAGGAAAACTTTCCAGTTTTACCAAAAGAAAGGAAACCGTTTTTCCATTTGCAAAACACCAGTGGACAAGTCCACCCGTACAACCCACCGAATCTCCAACACCACCACAATCCAGCAAATCACAACCTCATCTTCCACTTCAATCTTCGCAGCCGGCAGAAGCAGACACTCTGGCTGCACACCGCATCAGTGACCTGGAAGCACGACTTTCAACAGCACTGGAGACAATCGAAGCTCTCCGTGCTCCGGCTGCAAACACTGAGGCACCCAGCACACCAGCACCAAAGAAAACAAAACGAGCCACAGCACCTAGCACTCCTATCAACACGCCCTCTCCACCACCTGACTCAATTTCCACAATTGAGATTTCCCCCACCACAACCACTCGTGGACAGAAACGAGCTACCATAGATGACGCCACACACAACGACACCAGGCTTACCACTGGTAGCCTTTCCCCTTCCACAACAACAGTTGCAGAACAAGATACCAACGCGCTACATGCTTCCCCAGCATCGTCATCCACCACAGGTATGCATTTTCCGGGACGCTCCCTTCTGGGCGCCAAGCGACAGAAGCAGTCAACTCTCACACCAAAGAAGGCGGCACCCCTCGATCCCAAGATGGATCCCCAGCGCATCTTTCAGCAGCCTACAAAAGCCAGTGTTTGGTTTCAGGAGCATTTCACTGGCGTTCACTCTGAATCCGGCATCACCAGATGGTTTGGTGCCATCAAAGGCATCAGCGACAAACAAAAAACACAGGTAAAAAAGTACCTTGACATTGTTGCTTCGGAATTCCCTTCACTCAGCAACTCACAAGAACAGACACTGCAGACCGCTGCAGTCGCCTGGGGTGTCCCGCCCAAAGCCATCGACAAATTTGGCTCCCCAGCACTGATCAAACTTGTCGCTATCATCAGTCAGATGACAGAGTGACTCAGGCAGTACTTGATTCAACACCGGCAGACACTGGATCACACAACAATTTTCCGACAAAAGCAATTCAAGAACATCATACGCATTCTGGATCAAGGCAGATCCATCTTACAATTTGTCGCACCATTGGCAGAACCAGTCTCTACACAATTCCACCAAATCATACTTTGGCTTCAAGGCTTGACCTTGTTACTTCGTACACAGCATTTCTACCTCAAACATGAGGAAGGACACTTCTCCAACCTACAGAGACTTTTCGCACATTCAAACATTTCTTTTCCATCGTACACACTCTCTTTCTTTCGTCAGCCACAGGTGGTATATTGCAGAGTCACCACACAACAACCTTTTCGTGGTTACGTCTACATTGGCAGCACAAGTCACTCTCTCACACAACGAGAGGGCACACGCAATCGAAAATTCAAGCAACTTCAACAACACAAGATTGTACAAACCGAACTTGCCTTACGATGGTGGCTTAAACACAAATGCTACCACCAATACGCACCAATTGTACTACAAGCCAACATACCCACAGAGCAATTGGAAGCCACGGAGAACACTCTTATACAGCACCACCAATCCAAGCTCAACTTTCCTTACATCACATCACACATGAAAGGAGCTTTCTCCGGCTTCACAAAAGCAGCCAACAACAAGCACAACGGCACAGCCACCTTATGGGCGAAGCAGCGCCGAGGCAAACTACACCACTCCATTCGAAGCTTCAGCAATTCCCCCTTATTCAAAACCAGGAAACAGGCATGGACCACAGTCTCACATCTTACTTCCAACACTCGCACCAGATTCGACACAACAAAACAACTGCTTTGCTCCGACACACCAGCAGCCACCGTTTACGCTTTACACAAACTCTCAAACAACTTACCACGACGCGACCGCAGACACGCTCACAAAGCTCTCAACACCGTTTTTAAGAAGCGACGACTAAAACCACCTCCTGTCACAAAACCCATTTACCTACAGCCACTCTTACACCCCACATTCACCCAACACCTTCGACAATTTTTGCGCTCTTGTTTAACAAGCAACAAACAACACATTCCACCATTCCACCTACCCAGCACGAAACCGGTGTACAAGAAGCACCCACCTATGCAACAAATCCTACACAATTGGCGCGATGCCCACACCACATGGCAACCTGATACACCACCACCCTGTACATGCTCACCATTACAGTCACAAGTACCCCAGGAGCACATTTTCCACAATCACATCGCTATCCAACTTGCAGAACTACAACCCCAACACCAGTTCTTGGCATACTCCGGCAAAAGCAATTGCCTTCA